GCCTTTATTACCGGCTTCGGCTTTCCTCGCCCAACACAACACTATTTTTAGCTACTACGAAACAAATTTTACTATTAAAAATGTTGCCAAATCTAATCTACATAAATATATAAATAATAATTAACATATATTATAAAGTTTAACAAATGATAAATGACCTAAAATTTAAGCAATAGAAGCAATAAAATAACAAGATTGGATCAACCTGATTGATTAAATAACTTTCAGCAACTTCAAGAGATTCTAAATATTTAATTTCAAAAAATGTATCCACAAATAGTTTGATGCATCATAGAATTTATTGTATTGTTTAAGCGGAGGAGGAAAATGTAGATTAGCCCAGCTCAATCGCTATTTACCCTATTTCTTGGACTCCTTGAACATTTATTATTTGAACCAAGCCCTTCTTTATCGGAGAATACCTTGCTACAATTGGTTACTCATCTACTATATCCTGAACATGGGTTACTTGTTTAGATCACCACCAAACAGTTATCAATAGTTGGATAAGTATTTTTACAAGTTGTTGTTACACCCTTGTGGTATTGAAAACCAAGTCTTCGCATTTTACAAAAATGTCCCATCATCTCTGTTTTCTAGTGGTACCCTTTCACTGAAGCCGAAGAAAAAATCTGAATTGCCCCTATGGAACAATGATCTGAATATGCTATTACATATCTCAATCATTTCCGTGCTTGCAATCTTATACATGGCTTCATTATTTACCATCAATGAAGGAGTAATTCAATTCAGAGATAGGTTTTGTTTTGTAGGTGTGGACAAAAAGTTGCACCTTGGCAACATTATTCTGAATCGAATGATTACCATTCAAGCTCTACTTCTATTGCAACCTGAGAAAATGCTATTACTATTAGCTTTGGAATCCAACTGGAGAGGAAACAATATTTTATTTTCTGGGTTTCTAAATGCAATTGAAGATGAAATCCAAAATCAGTACAAAGCCATGGAAGATTTGATGTGTTTTGTAAGATGAAATTGCACTTTCTAAAGTAAACAAAGGATTCATTCCATATTGCTAATAACTTTAGTATTCACTATAGACTTCATCAGTTCAGTTCACACATTATTTTTTATACATTCCACTTTATGACTGATAATAACAGCTGAATACCCCTTAGACTGACTTTTACAATTCAGTTATACCAATCTACAACATATACAGGCACAGCCACTACTAGTTTACACCAAAAACCCTCAGTTCTGTTACCATATACAAAAATAAAATGCAATACAAAAAAAACCCCTTTCTTCTTCTTCTTCTTTTGTTATCACAGACTAAAAGTAACAACTATATGGACAGAACTAAATAACATCTTTAATTTCACATATCTATAAACCATTTACATGATTCCCAAATAACTCAACATCAAGCTCAAAAAGGCCATCAATCTGCTTAACATTATCATGCATAACTCAATTAGCACAAAGAAAATTTGCTTTCCAAATAACACAAATTTAATCATATAATCTTATTAAGTTGAACACCCACAAACATAGCAATATCAGTTAACTTACCAAAATGAAACTCGAGTTTGAGCAGGAAAACCCTTTATTATGATTTGCCCTTTTTCCCTTTCAACCACTTGTATGGTACAAGCAGCCTACACACCATCAGATTAAATAATGCATTCATAAATAATATACCACCAATAAATTCAAACTCATCAATGATATCAACACAATTGTACCTTGGTTTTTTCTTTTTTTCCTCTTGGCCATGTTTATCCTTACCCCTGGTGCTTTGGTTTTGTTCTCGATTACCTCATATGATAGGCTGCAAAGTAATCAGATCATTAATATCAACTGATAACAAAAAAATAAATTAAAATGAAGTTAACATAACCCTTTAATAAATCACCAACAATTCACCAGTATTTCTGTATTTGTCTCATTCACCACTACATATCTGCAATTTCAATTGCTTTATGTGTTTGTTTCACCTGAAATACACACTTTTATTATGTGTAATCAATTCACCAAATAAGAGAGCCATGAAAAAATAAAACATAAATTAAGAAAATGGCAATTTCAAACATGAAACTTACTTTTTTAGTTTTCACCTTCTTTGAGTGACAATCCATTCCACTATCTTAGTTGCTGGGAACTAATTAACCAAAAATATTAATTAAGCTACAGACAACAATTCACAAGTTAAAAGTTCAGAATCCCATTAACTCCAACTTTTGATAACTCAATGTGGAGTGTACATCTATGGCATTTGATGCCAATTCAGTCACTTTATGTGTTGACTTGCCCTGTTACCATAAAAACCATGATATTAGCTTAATACCCCTATACTGTAAATGAAATAGAATAATGATATGTTTGGTAATGTATGTCTCTATGATAATTTGTTTTGTTGCACACTGTTCTCTATCAATCTCTTTAATCCATTATTTAACATATTGTTCGCATAATTGGATGTCCCAATAGAATGATAATTTGTCTCAATACTAGATTCAATAGTAACATTTTTCTTCTTATTTCACCGTGAAATTAGAGAGTTGCCTAAAAAGGAAAAAAACCCTTTAATAGAACGTCAATCAGTAGAATGAAAATAGTGTTTGTGTAATTCTTAGAATATAGTCTTACACTTAGTTGACTCTCTTGGGGGATTTACCTGTGGAGGAATTTCTAGGTTGCATGGGCATGTTTTTACTGGTGTCAATTGTGGCTGGGGGTCACATTCATAATTGGAATGGGTGAGAAGTTAATCCTATTATTTAGGTGATAATATAGTATACTTTTGAGTGGAGGACAACTTGTTGTGGGTGGTAAGAGATTTTATCTTATCACGTGCCACGTGTATAATCAAATGGCTTCTTAATATTGACGAGACTTGGGCTGATTTTGGGCCGCCTCTTTAGGCATAGGGAATCAAACCTCCAATTTGGTCTATTTTAGGTAGGATTTTCGTATTATACTTCATTGGTTGGGCTAGGTGATTTTTACCCCAATAATAATACTGATTGTATAAAGATGACACAAGAAAAATATATAGAAAGAGGAAGTCTGATAAAAATTAAATNAATTGAAGTAAATAACTAAATATATTATTACTCAATCAAATATAATATTTTATTCAAAAATAATTCTTTTAATAACATTAAAAATATAAAACACTTTTAATTGGATTATAATTCCAATTTATTCACTTAATTAATCAAAACTTTAATATTAATGTATTATAATATATTAAAGCTTTTAATATGGTGTAATTTATATGTAACAAGTATAATTGTATTCGTATATTTATTTAATTAGGTTATTCTAAAAATTTAACTTTTTCTATTTAATTTTTTTTTATAAAACAATAGAAACCCTCCATTCACATTTTACAAATATTTCATTATAGTCCAGGTTCCAAAATAGGTTCCAAAATAGGTTCCAAACCGGTTCCAAAATAGGTTTCAAAACGAGTTCCAAACAGGTTTCAAAACAAGTTCCAAACAGGTTCCAAAAATCGGTTCCAAACTGGGTACCCCCTACAGGTTCTAAACAGGGTACTCTTTTTACAGGTTCCGGTTCCGGTTCCTCCACACACAAGAACCGGAACCGGAACCGCACAGTATCGGTTCCAAAAAATTGGAACCGGAATCTACCAGCATAATACAGGTTCTGGGTAGGTTCCAGTTCTACCCACCGGTTCCGGTTCTACCCGCTACCCGTGCTCACCCATACTGTTACCATAAAAACCATGATATTAGCTTAATACCCCTATACTGTAAATGAAATAGAATAATGATATGTTTGGTAATGTATGCCTCTATGATAATTTGTTGCACACTGTTCTCTATCAATCTCTTTAATCCATTATCTGACACATTGTTCGCATAATTGGATATCCCAGTAGAACGATATTTTGTCTCAATACTAGATTCAGTAGTAATATTTTTCTTCTTATTTCACCATGAAATTAGAGAGCTGCCTAAAAAGGAAAAAAACCCTTTAATAGAACTTCAATTAGTAGGATCTCTCATCCAATCAACATCAGTGTAGGCAATTAGACAAGAATAGACTAAGTTGAGAAACGTATTTTTTTGTGTGAAAAATTGAATTACATTAGCATCGATGACTTTTCTCTTCAATGCTTAAGTCAGTTATTAGATCATTACAACAACAAAAACGGAGAGATAAGTAGTGTTTGTGTAATTCTTAGAATATAGTCTCTCCTGGGGGATTTATATAGCCTTTACCTGTGGAGGAATTTCTAGGTTGCATGGGCATGTTTTTACCGGTGTCATGGTGCCTTAATTGTGGCTGGGGGTCACATTCATAATTGGAATGGGTGAGAAGTTAATCCTATTATTTAGGTGATAATATAGTATACTTTGAGTGGAAGACAACTTGTTGTGGGTGGTAAGGGATTTTATCTTATCACATGCCACGTGTATAATCAAATGGCTTCTTAATATTGACGAGACTTGGGCTGATTTTGGGCCGCCTCCTTAGGCATAGGGAATCAAACCTCCAATTTGGTCTATTTTAGGTAGGATTTTCGTATTATATTTCATTGGTTGGGCTAGGTGATTTTTACCCCAATAATAATACTGATTGTATAAAGATGACACAAGAAAAATATATAGAAAGAGGAAGTCTGATAAAAATTAAATTGTGACTTTGTGAGAGAAAATAAATATATTTTACCACATGTAATTGATAATTTTAACTCATTATAGTAAGACAAAAAGTGGTATTTCTAGCGTTTTTGAAGAATTAATGAAAACTATATTTTGTAATGTCATGTAACTACAGGGATGAAAGTAGTGTCATTAACTCCGACCTTCAAGGATGAAAATGTCATTCTCCTTTCCGACTGCCCTAGCAAGTTGAGTTCCTTTGCTCCTCACAACTTTCTGCTCGTTACATCACCACCGGTCCCACCTAAAACAAACGGTTCAGATTCAAAGTTATATTTATACCAAGTCAATTACGCCGCGTCACTCCAAATACCCGGCTATAAATTAACGTGGCGTAAGTCGCTAAGGTCTCGGCTCTTCCCTTCCTTCCTTTTGTCTATTTAAGTTTCCATTGAAACGACATTTCGATTCATTTCGCTTAAAACCTGAATTAAAATAAATAAATAAATTAATTGATAACTGAAAATCCAAACGAAGAACAACAGAGAGAAAAAGATAATCAAACGACAGATGTCGGACGCGTATTGTTCGGATTGCAAGAAGAGCACGGAGGTGGTGTTCGATCACTCTGCGGGGGACACGGTATGTTCAGAGTGCGGACTGGTGCTGGAATCGCACTCGATCGACGAGACGTCCGAGTGGAGGACGTTCGCAAACGAATCGGGCGATAACGACCCGGTCCGTGTCGGAGGTCCGACCAATCCTCTTTTGGCCGACGGCGGCCTCTCCACGGTTATCGCGAAACCGAATGGAGCTTCCGGCGAGTTCTTGTCGTCGTCGCTAGGTCGGTGGCAGAATCGCGGGTCTAATCCGGATCGGGGTTTGATTACGGCTTTTAAAACCATCGCTACGATGTCTGATAGGTATGGATTGAGGTCGCTTTTGTTTCGGATCTTGGATCGGGTTATGGATGCAGTACGGTTTTGTTGAAAATTTGAGAATTACCAGTAATCTACTGCTGAGTTTTTTTTTTTTAATTTTTTAATTTTTTAATTTTTTATATAGTTATTAATGTGGTAATTTAATGGGCCGAAAGCTTGGTTTTTTAGTTAGTTAGTTTTATTTTTTAATTACATTATCATATTTAACATGAGACAACAAGATTAGGAATTGGGAAACTTATTCAGTTGATAACTTAAAAGAAAAACTACTTTATTTCACACGTCGGCCTTTCCAACTGAAAAAGAAAATCTGAGATTAAACATCAACTGGGACGTTTCTTGTGTGTTTGGCAAAGGACCCTCGTGTGATTTTTTAATTCATGCATAGTTGTTGATGCATAATTGTTGGTCCTTTCATGCTGATATATTGAAATTTGTGTTTCAGGTTGGGCCTTGTTGCAACCATTAAGGTAAGCACCTCATTGTCGTGATAGTTGGGTTATTATTGATGGTTTGACACTCTCTTATGGGAGAGATGTGTGAGTTTAATTGATGACATTGTACTAGCTTCTATGGTTTTAGAAAATCAACTCATTACTATTAATATTGTTTTAAGAATGAATATGTGATATTCAATAGACCAAATAAAGATAATTTATATGAATTACATGTGATGAGTGGAGAGAACATTCATATATAATTAGAATGACACTTGATGACTTCATTTAGATTGTAGACGCCTTATTTTAATTAGGATATACAGGCTTAAGTTGTTTTTGTAAGTTTTGTTATTCTTAGTTGAGTGATGGGAATGGCTAGTTTATTAGGAGTGTATTGTTATCACCCATGTGAGACATTGGATTTTGGCTCTATTATTTTATGGGAACTAATCCAATGGTTTACAAAGAATGTAACATTACTGGTGTATTATAGGATTTCCCTTAGGTGATTTGTGCTCAGGATTTGGATAAAAGAAGGCTTCGTTTTGGCTGTTGGTGCACTTTGTAGGCAAACATAATGAAGGATTTGCAATAGGGTGGGGGTATATGCTACAACTGTATTATCAACACCCATCTTCTTCTTTTACACAGTAACGAAAGAATAATGTCATGTATCCTAAGTTTTATATCCCAAGTGATGTGACTTTATATGAATGGTACATGTATCCACATGTTATTAAGTAGTCCATAAAGTGTACCTATAAAATAATGATGCATCACTTGGTATGTAACTTGATGTAAAGACTTGAGATGAGTAGTACTACTCTTACAAAAATGTTCCTCTTTAACATATGCCTATGAGCACATGTAAATAAACTTAAAATAATAAGTTAGCATTTAATACTTATGATTGTAAAAAACAATTTTGCCTAATAAATTATTCTGGGTGATAAATTATTTTGACTTCTTAAAATGATTAGTAATTAATGCAAACTTATATTTAAAATTTTCTAACTTGTGCTCTTAAATCATATCTTAATGTAACCTGATAAAAGTTTAATATTTACTCTGTAAGCCTTTTACCCTTTATGCTATTAATCTTTCTATTGACCCACTGGTAAATACTCTCTTCTGTATATGAAAACTTTCTCCTGTAATGAAATCTCTGCTGATGATATATTTGTTTCTCTACATCATTCATTTTCTCACAACTGAATCGTCAAAAATAGAACTTAAAAGTTTATCAACTATAAATTTTCGACTGAATCCTTTTTACAGTTGGTGAAGTGATGATTAAATTGAAGTGTATGCTGTCATTGATCTTCATCATGATATAGCTTACTGTAGCTTAAAGGAACAGCCGTTGAGACTTTCTATGTTTTGTTATCCTAGTATGTGTAAATGATTGTCTGTGAGAGTGCAACTTGAAATTCTTGTTTTGGGTCATATTTGTGCTGCAAAAACTTATTTTACGTAATACATTAGAATTTTTTGGATCTGTAGGTTCTTGCAAATTGTTTGGTGACTAGTGACGTCTGGTCGAACCATCGTCAATATATTTTCAAATTCATATCTTTGTTTGATGTTGAAGGTTGTAAGGAATTAACGAAAGAAAAAGAGTTAATTTAAAATTTAAAGAAGAAAACTAGTGTTTATAGTAAGGTGAATTAGGAAAGTAATTTTGTTTTTATCTATTTAAATTATATCTTTAGAAACAAATTACTTTTTTACATTGAGAGTAAATCTCTCTCGCTCAGTCTCAGTTGCTCTCTTTATATATATATATATATATTAAATCAGTAAAAGGTCAGTAGATACAATTGTGTACCTGGTGTCCACAAAGAATCAACAAACCAGTAGAGGGGAAACAAATCTGTACTTTTTTTGGTGGTGGGAAATTATCCCTGCACTATACAAATAGGTCACAACCTTCCCAATTGAGATGAATAAAGAAAAAGAAGTATCTTGAAAATTTCTGCGCAACTGAACCCCAAATGAAGAAAGAAACGAACTGTGACCCATATATTGCTACTGTTTTACTCTCTTTTCTCACCACAAATCCAATTGTTTCTTTCAAGCCAGCTTTGAAATGATGCAGCTTAAAAAAATTGAATTGTTAAAAATAGGTGCAGAAAGTATTTTTGGGGTGTTTATGGCCTCATACTTTGGAATAATTGGATGCTTATTTGTTTATAGAAAAAGAGGCTAATTGTTATATTATATCCCCATCAATTCTTTGTTTCTCTTACTATATTTCTTCTCTCTTCATTATCTTTGCTTTCTTTCTTCAATCCCTGTTGTTTTCTCATCTTTTACCTTTATTTTTCTCCTTTTTCTCTCCCTATTTTCTTTTTTAATTTAATTTTTATAATTCTCTTCTCGTACTCTTCCTTATAAATTCTTGTTCTTATCTTTCTCCTACTTTAATTCTTTCTAGGTTTCTATTTTTCTCTTGGTCTTTCTAATCTCTACTCTTTGTTTTTCCTGTTATTTTCTGCTTACTGACCTTTATCTAAGTCAAATATTAATGGCAGAATCATATAGAAGGAAGTTAGTGCTTTATGTATAATTGGATTCATCAGTATTCATGTTCAACTATGAGTCACAAACTGTTATTCATCAGTGTTCATGTTTAACTGTAATTGAAATTGCTATTTTAGCGAATGATAGTTGTCTGTCATGATGCTATAGTTCAAAAAAGAATATTTATACTTCTGTCTCCTCCTCACTTAACTTGGTTCTCACTGTGAGCCCATGGATTCTGTAATTGTAATGGTGTGTAGTTTGTACTGGACATTTTCATGTACTTGTATCAACCTTTTCATTTATTTATATAGTTTTAAGTCAAACTAAGTGTGTGTAGAGTTGGAATGTGGACCAATATAGTAGCTCATAGCTACTTACAAAATATGTGCCTTCAAGGGATTAGTGCAACAACTTTTAGAACAATGAAATATATCCATTTGAACTTTTGACCTCAGCAGACAAATATAAGATGAACTTGGTTCATTCATTTGACTTTTTTTTTTTTTTTTTGGTGGACCTCAAACTTCAAGCCTTCGAGGATGTGGAAATGTGGTTTTGGTTTGTGAATGTACCAGACATGTAGTAACTAAGAAGAATTCAGGTGGCTGTAGAGAAATTGAAGATATACTAATAGATAAGAGGAATAGTTAAATGGGAAACCCTGGAAAAGGCTGTAGGTTGCCTCCTTTATTTTTGCTTTGTACCAAGGTGTGTGGGAATTGTGCAAATTGTCTTAAAATTCAAATGATGCAAATGATGTTTGATGGATTAAAATACAAGTAAATTGATGTAATGATGATTTGAATTCAATAATAATGAATGCATATTATAACATACATGGTGTGTATGATCAAACTGTTTCATTGATAGTTTTCTTGTTAATCCATTTTTTCTTTCAGCTTTAATGTGCAGTACATTTGAATTTTTTGTTGTCTCTGATGCTGTGTTTCTAATTGTTTTAAAGGATCGGGCAAATGAGATATATAAGAAGGTGGAAGATCAAAAATCTAGTCGAGGAAGAAATCAGGATGCGTTATTGGCTGCCTGCCTGTACATTGCTTGTCGACAAGAAGACAAGCCACGCACTGTCAAGGGTACAGCCTAAGATTCTCTTAACATATGGATCCTTCCTCATTTATCTTTCCCTTTGTGTATGAGCTTCCCTGAACCTATGGATTTCAACTAGAAATATGCTCTGTCGCCAATGGAGCTACAAAGAAGGAAATTGGCCGAGCAAAAGAATACATTGTGAAACAGCTGGGGCTGGAGACTGGTCAGTCGGTGGAGATGGGAACTATACATGCTGGGGACTTCATGGTGGGGGTTTATTCTCTTTCCTGATATGTATAATGACATTTCATTTTGTTGGATTTTGATTGGTTTATCACTATCTATCTTGGGCACTGATACTAACCTTTCTATAAATGTTTAGAGGCGCTTTTGTTCCAATCTTGGTATGAATAATCAAGCAGTAAAAGCTGCCCAAGAAGCTGTTCAGAAGTCAGAGGAGTTCGATATAAGGTAATTATAGTTTTCTACTTTCATAATTATAGATTTTGCACAAGTGTTAATGTTCTTTAGCATATTTCCATCTACATTAAAGTTGAATTTTCTTTTGAGCCTCAGATGGTTTCTTATTGCTTTTGTTTGTGTATTGGGATTTAAGGCTCTATTTGGCGGTGACAACTGAATGTGGGACAAGACTAATTTATGTGACTAGATTCCTAATATCACATTTCATGCTCCTAATTTCTCTGGACTATTGTTACAGTCCCAAGATTTTGTCCTGTGGATATGGGACAAATCCTGTGGTTAACATCAGGACTCCTTGGGATAGGTCTAAAACATTTTCCCAAGGCCACTTGAAATAAATGTTCTTAGTGTGTAAATATCTTTAATTTAACTATTTTAAAAGTTATGGACATACCAAGTGTGGAACAAACTACTCTATATGATATGAATGTAGTACTATATTGTTCAAAGTGCAGTCTGATAGTGCACCAGACAAATAACAGTATTTAATACAGATATACGTCAAATGCAGCCCCTTTTTTAAGTAAAACCTCTGGAAAAATGGAGCCCATGTTATCAGAAATTTCTTTGATGTTGTGCAACTCATTAAGAACAGTGATTGAAAAAGAAGCTTGATCAATTCTACTTATTTTTTGAACATTAATACTTGCAAAATATCTCATCCTGTTGCTGTAGGGTATCATATTTGAGCATCAACATGTTTTATGTTAGGTTACTATGAACCCTAAAACTTAGCTTGTAAATAAGGCCTCAACAATAGCTAATAAAACGAGTGTATACAACCGAAAGAGGAAACACAATGTATAACTTTCTAATTACCACAGTTATGAATTGAGTGATTAGGTCTGTGGTTTTTCCTCTAAGGTCTACAGTTTGAGTCCCTTCATCGGCATCTACTTTACAGAAGGCCATTGTTTTGCACTTTCCAATGATTGTAGGGTTTGATGGGGCTTCAGTTTTGAACTCGGGTTTGCAAAAGCATGCTTCAAAAGATTTCTGAATTAAAAAAAAAAAAAAAAAAAAAAAAAAAAAAAAAAAAAAAAAAAAAAACACTTGATCAATCCTCTCAGTAGCCAAAAAGCTTAAGTTAATGAATAAGAACTCAGAAATAATGTTTAAGCTCTTATAGTTTGAGATAAATACTCTCTTTCCTATTTTAGAATTACACATATTTTCATTTATCTTAGATAACTGGGATTTTACTTGTTTACTCTATAGAAGATTTTTTTATTTTATGTAAGAGAGAAATATTCTGTGGAATGGCTGGAGTTATTAAGTTCATTAATGGTGGTAGATGCATTGAAAATACTTTTATTAAACACTTGGCAGTCTACAATATATAAGTTCATATAGCAACATTTCATGTACCTGTTGTCATAAGTGGGTCATGGTATGATATGGCATACTGAAATTAACAAACTGACATAGCATCCCGTGTGTGTAAGTTTTCTTGTGTTGATTTAAGCTGCCACACTATCCAGTAAAAGATTGTTTTGTATCCATTTCAATTAGGAGCTGAGGCTTGTGTTTACATATATAGCTTATGTCATTTGCTTTAGAATACACTCTATATCCTTAGCTATTTTGCTTTGCCTCCTCTTAAGTTGTTTTAATTTTTGCAGGAGGAGCCCTATATCAATTGCAGCTGCTGTTATTTATATTATAACTCAGCTTTCAGATGACAAGAAGCTGCTCCGAGGTTTGATACATCGTCATTGTAGTTGTTTACTTAAAACCATCTTTATAAACATATTATATGTTCTAACCATGAATTTGTGTTGTATGCTTTAATGGACATGGATAAATGCAGATATTTCACTTGCTACTGGAGTTGCAGAAGGAACAATCAGAAATTCATACAAGGATCTTTATCCCCATGTCGCAAAAATAATACCAAATTGGTATGCCAAGGAGGAGGATCTTAAAAACCTTTGCAGCCCATAAAATGTAGAGCATTCAATAAGGCGAAATGAACAGCTTCAAACTTAATTGCTTTTTTTGAGCCGTCTCACTTTGATGTATTAAGAACTGTTAAGCATACGAAGACCTTAAGGATTTTGGTATTCTTTACCTCAACTTATTTTTCTCTTTGTGCAGTTGATTGCACCCTTCAATTTAATAGATGGGAAAAAGGAAATAGAGCTACTCGTAACTTGTTTTTCAGTTTATGCTTGTGGAATTAATACTATGTTATATATTGATTGTGTTTCTCTTATGTATATAAAATAAAGTCAGATATTGATTGAATAAAAAAGAATAAAGAGTATATTTCACGTTGATTTACATAAAACGGTAAAAGATGTAAAATAAAATCAATTTGTTGCATTGATTTACCTAAATCTATAGTAATGATTATAAGAAAATAACTCGAAATTCTCGATTTTTTTATTTTTGTATCATGAAAGCAAAAACATATTTGATTGGGATCGTGTTATTGATTTTTTGAGTTGAAAGTTTAAACTAAGTGGTTTTTAACTCCTTATCAAAGATTTTAGATGGTGGAGTGTTATTTATTTGTTAGGTATTAAAAGAATGAAAGATGGTCCCCAAGCCAACAAGAGACCTTACAAAGTCTGGAACTTGGAGAGGCCCAAGCATCAAACCAAAAACAAGGGACGGATTTACACAGTCCACAAGAGTATTCAACCAAGCCTCCAGGAGGCTATGCTAAATGACCAGCATTACAAAAAATAGCAGGCCAACTGGACAACCAAAAAAAAAAAAAAAAAAAAAAAAAAAAAAAAAAAAAAAAAAAAGATACCCAGAAATCCAGCCAACAACACGGTTTGCAATTTGTACACAAAGGCCCAAACAGCATAACAACCAGCACAACCAAAAAAATTAACAACTGCACCACCTTTGCATATTTACACAACTGCCAATAGTTATTAGTATCTTACGATACGTGAATACAATTTGATATGGGTCACCAACAATATGTATAAGAGAGTGTATCCTAAACCTTTCGATACGTTGATATGTATCTTACGATACAATACGTATTCGTTTGTATCTTTAAAAATATCTATATAAATCGATACGACTTTATTAATTTGGGCCAAAGGCCAAAAAAAATTTTCAGTTCGAATCTAGGTCACTCAACCCAGCTCACTAAAACCTGTCCAAATTTACCCATTTTGTAGGGAGAAAGTGAAGAAGAAGATGTGTTGCCTATTTTGTATGATACTAATAACAGAACTGGAGATATAGATATTAATATTGATCTTGGAAATGATATGAATGATTGAGAATAAATGATATAGATTCTTAATTTTGTGAAAATTTTGATTATGTAATACCATAATTTAAAGCCAATAATATCAGAAAATTCGTTAATTAATCTTGGGGATGATATTAATTTTTTTAAAAGGCGTATCCAACGATACGATACGATACGATACGCGATACACGATTCAAGAAATAAGGTTTTCGATACACGATACGATATGCGATTTGACAACCATGCAACTGACAACACAACATCAACCAACAAGTAACGGGTGTTCCTCCATGAAGACACATAGCTATTTCATGCAGCAAACTCCCACCAAGATACCACATATCGTTGAATTCACTTCTTAGATACCGTAGCTTTGAGGGACACCATCAACACATAAGTTCCCAAATCCATAATCTTCCTAAACCAAACTTCTACACAAGAGTAGTACAAAGTAGCTCCAGGAATTAAAAAAGAGGACAAAGGAGGTTCAAAAATCTCCTTCAACCAACAACAGATCTGAGGACCAAGATCCAAAGTGTCCAAATCAAGGCTTTGGTAATCAGCAAGCACAGTTTGAACTCCTACACAATGTAATAAAGTTAGCATTTGAATATGTCTTCCTTTTCTTCTCTTGAAGGACAACCGATAATCAATTATGTCGATGAGCTCCATCACATCAATTAAACATTCTTTGGGTAAATTCCATTCCTCCATCACTTTTCGAGTTCTTCTTGTATTTTTAAATTGCAGGCTGCTCAGTCTAAGTCTAACAACCTCGATGACTTGCCGCTTCACATATTCAAGGCTCCTGAATTTTCTTTGGAAAATAAGCAGATTCCTCTCTTGCCATACTAAATAAACAGACGCACCAAGGAGGAGCCTACCTATTACAACTTTGATTTTTTTTTCCTTTGAAGATGCCCGAAGACCAAGCCACAATATTATCCCAACCATTCATGGGAGAAAGGAAATTACCTTTGATCCGTGCAGTCCTCCAAATGGCTTGTGAAAATGGGCAATCGAAAAAAAGATGGTCATGTGTCTTAGTAATATTGCCATATAATACATATGAGGGATCCTCAGAGCTACTCCATGCTTGCATCCTATCTTGAGTTAGAAGTTTCTTTCGAATGACAAGCCATAGGATATGGGCATGTCATGAGATACAAGTGCTATTCCAATCAATAGTAGCTCAGGGCACCTTAGTATTCTCATTTGACAAATCCCTCCACATCTGATATGAGGAGAATTTAGTTCTTCGGCCATCAGCAACCTTCCAAAAAGTTTCATCCTTCCATAAGGTCCCCGAAATAGAGGGAACTAGGTCCACAACTTAGGCCATTTCCACTACCCATCATCCAACACATCACTGATAAGGCCCTATGTCCTATATCCGAATTGTAGAACATCCTGTGAGGAACAATAAGATGAAGTGGGCCTAAAGGGTGCCAAGAGTCAAACCAAAGGGAAGTAGTCCTACCACCAGCTAGGTTGACCCCAATATTTCTTTGTACCAAATCCATGATCAAAAGAATTTTATGCTAGTTCTAGCTAGCATCCCAAGGGATTTTTACACTCAAAAAGTTGCGACCACAGAGTCTATAGGTGTGAATCCATTTGGCTCATAACGTATCTTTCCTAGACACTACATTCCAAACATGATACGTCATTAATGATACATTCTATATAGCCAAGTGCTGAATGCCCAAACCTCCCTCTAATTTTGGAGAGCATAAATCCTTCCAAGCCACCTTGGCTTTACCTTTACCCATATCACAACCAGACCAAAGAAAGGTTCTGAGTATCTTTTCTATAGCCTTGGAAACAGAGGATGGAAGAATAAACACCGAGGCCCAATACACCTTCATGGAAGATAAAATGGATATGACTAATTGGAGTCTACCAATATATGAAAGATACTTGTTCTTCCAAGAAGACACCCTTTTCTCCACCTTTTCAATGAGAGGCACACAATCCTTATGGTAAAAGCGAGTAGTAATCATGGGCACACTCAAGTATCTAACATTTAGCTGACCCATCTCAAAACCCATAATGCTCTGGATACGAGCACTGTCTTGCTGATCAATGTTGCACATGAATATGGAGCTTTTGGATTGGTTGGGGAGAAGACCAGATATAGTCGAAAACCTAGTCAAGGCATTCTTCGGCATCTTGACTGATATGGGATCTCCATGACAAAACAAGAACATATCGTCAGCAAAACAGAGGTGAGTAATTTCTGAGCTATACATCTAAAACGGTACTAGAAACATTCCTCTTCATGTGCTCGCCTACGGATAATCAATGAAAGAACTTGCATCTCCAGAGTGAAAAGATAAGGAGACATTGGATCACCTTGCCTTAATACCCTTTTCCCCAGAAAGAACCCTTGGAGCTCTCCATTAATAGAAACAGAGAAAGAAGATGTGGTAATACATTCTCGAATCCATCTGATCATCCAGGTGTTTTTTTGGGGGGGGGGGGTGGGGGGGGGGTGGGGGGGGGGGGGGGGGGGGGGGGGGGGGGGGGGGGGGGGGGGGGGGGGGGGGGGGGGCGCGTTGTTTGAATCAAACACAAACATATGAAGAGTCCCTCATACAAAAGATTTTCCAAAGTGACTACTCTATCCCCATTCGTAGGCTTGTTACAAAGTCCCTCAATCAAGCACGTAACAAATTAGCATCAAAGCCTTGGCAGGGAGGTGCAAAGCTTAAAAAGCTCACAACTTGAAGTGAACTCTCTCGTTTTTTGTAGGGTATTCAATGGATCCCGACAAGGGTGGATTTAGAAATTTCTGTTAGGGTGAGCCAAAATAAAAACTAATTGCGCATTAATAGTTTTGTCCATTAATATTTCTGTTAGGGTGGACCAAAATCCTTAAATTGTACATATTAATATTATTTAAAAAAATAAGGGTCAGCCATGGCCCACCATCAACTATTTTTGCATCCACCCCTAGACTTCGGGGATTAGTTGAGGTGTGCGTAAGCTGGCTCGGACACCCCAGTTACCAAAAAGAAAAAAAAAATCTCCCATTTTAGGTTAAGAAGGAATGCTTAAAGAAATGCAATAGATGATCTCAACAATGAGTGCTCAATTTGATCTGTTTCTAGTAGTCCTCTTCGTGAACAAGGTGAAAGGTCTCATAGTGTATTTCGTTCTGGAAGTGGAAGTGGAAGAAGCACAAACTGAGATAACTTCCACAACCATTAGCTTCCTAAAATAATAAAACTAGATTTTCCTCATTTCAACTAAGTGGAAGACCCCCATAAGCTAATTTTTATAGTTGAACAATTTTTCGAGTTTCATCAAACTTTAGAAGACAAACTGGTAAATTTAGCTTCATTCAATTTAGAGGGATATGTGCAATTATAGTTCCACTTTTTGAAAGAGGAAATTCTTTTATTACAGGGAAGGTTTCAAGTGGGGCTTGCACAATAGATATGGTCTAACACATTCTAAGACATTTTCAACGACTTAACAAAATTCCAATAGACGGGGTTGGTAAGAGAATATCAAACTCAATTTGAAAGACTTTTCATAAGAGTAGGTAAATTATCTTCAATCCCACAAGTTGGATGTTTTCTTAGTGGGTTGAAAGATAACACCAAGATTGATGTGCAAGCTTGTCGACCATCGACTTTCTCTGCTGCAATTGGTTTAGCTAGATTGCATGAATCACACAATCAGTTTCGAAGGCATTCAACTGACATGGAGGTGAAGCGGTTGTCAACTAAAATGGTCATAATTTGATAGGGTTTGGGATAGGATCTGCTTATATGAGGAACAAAGACTTCCAAGAATAAGAGACAAAGAGATTAATTGACAAAATTCTTCATTAATAACCACAATCTATATTTAGCTATTATATAGCCTTACACTTGACTCCAAATGACTTCCAAAAGGACTCTAATTGCCTAATTCATATATAATAAGATATTCT